TGGGAACAAAAGTCATGCTATTATGTAGTAATATGGCCGCTCTGGGCCTGCAGTGTGTGGTATCGTAAATTATCTTTCCAGTCACAGTTTAGGCCTTTAATAGCCCCGGCGAAAACCCACGATTCTTGGATGAATGCGACATCCAAGAATTCTGTTTTGAATCTCCAGCATAAGACGTCAGAGGCCGCCTTTGCATGATGGAGGTTCACTTGCAGGCACTTGATGTGCCTAGGCCTATCTTTTTTCCCCTATTGGTGACCATCAAAGTCTTCTCCATCGAAATCTCCCCTCGACCATGTCTTCGATTCGCATTTAGCGGAGGACGGAAGGGATTTTGGGCGAAAGGGGCCTTTGATTTCTCTGGGCTGGAAGGTTCCCTCTTTTCCGTGCCAGGAGTGTCTTCTGAGCAGCAGGGCCGCTCTATGGACTCCTGAACAGGTGTTTTTTCCTTCTCCGCTGCCCCTGACTGCTCTGAAGGTAACCTTTGCAGTCCCTTGGGTACGTCCTTGGAACCGCAAGGTCCCTCTTCGATGCAAGCACTTTGTGCAGTGGAGGAGGAACTGGCTTTAGAGGGCTGTGTACCCTTCGGGTCTGACGACTCAGTCGTCTTCCCTTTTTTTTATGGATGCGCACCCTGCCTATCCATAATTGACTAGGTATCCCAGCCTGTCGAGTGTCTCCGCTGAGTGCGGGTCCAACCGCTAGAGTGAGCTCAGTGGTGGGTCCTTTCTGTACCCTGTTGAGCACCCTCCAGCTACCTACCCGCAGCCCTTCGTTCTGACCCTCGACAAGGCCAAGGATACTGTCCACTGGAGTGGTTGATGGCTCCGGAAAGTACCCAACGTAGACACTGGGTTTGGGTACGTCAATGGCATTCATTGCCAAAATTTCCGCGCCCTTCCACGGTTTCAGGGTTTGGGATACCTTGCGCAGCCACTCCAGCGTTTCAGCGCCTCCGCAGCCAATTGACATCCATCCCGGACGGAAGGTGCAACCGCTAAACTTGGGCTTCACAGAGCCCTTTCGCTGTCGCCTCACCTCCTCCAGGATGGCCGCCTGAATGGCAGGTAGTTGGTCTAAGGACCAAAGTGCTTTAGGGTACCCTTTAGGGAGTAACCCTAACCTAACCCCATTACCAAGGTCCGCCTGACAGGTCGGCGCCTTTGTGACATCGGCAAAAGTTGCTTTGACCCTAGGTTCCTTTGGTCCCGTATGTGCCCTTTTGTCAGCTGGACCTGGTTTCCGTTTAGGAGAGTTCTCCACCGGGGAAGATGTAAGGTTAACCGATCGGTTCCTCTTAAGCTTTGTGCCAGCCAGCAAAGCCAGTTCGGCCTTTCCTTTTGCCATCGGAATAATGGCTAGCCGTTTGGCATCGCTTTCGCTGACACCTCTGGAGAGGTAGAATTTGTAGCGCTTTTTACCTGCTCCAGAGAGTTTTCTTTTAGGAGTACTAGCTTCCTCCTGATTTAACGATAAGAGCGCCTCCTCCTCGTCTGTGGGTATTTGGATGTCGTTGCCATTTGAACCAGAGCCCATGTTGGCAATATCGACATCCATGGCCACCGGGTTGCTGAGAACGCCGTTTGGATCAAAGTCCATTTCGTCCATTACAGCGTCCCGAGAGGGTTGAGCGCCTTGGCCGTTTGGATTTGCGTCGTTGGTTTGCGTTCGTCCGCTGCGCTCGCCATTTGTTAAGCAATCTCGTTGGGCATCGCGTGCACCTCTTAAGGCTGCTGACTGTTGCCGACTGTTAGAGGGCACGGAGATTTTCTTGTTTTTTTTTTATTTATTTGTGTTTTTTCCATAGAATCCCACGAGTAAGGGGGAAGAGAGAGGTCATCCGAGGCAGAGCCCCGGTACCCCGGAAAGACTACATAAAACCAGACGGCGCCACGTGACTGGAGTACACCGTAAAAAGACACACTAACGTAGTGCCATTCAGTCCTCAGGCATGGTCCGATTAACACCTGGACTGACGGATTTTATCGAGTTCTCTCTAGATCCGCCATATTCAGTAAAAACAGGGGCACCTCTCGCAGGGTGTGACTCTTCGCCACGTATGGTCGGTCTTGAGCCATCGACAGCCCCTGATCCATAGCACTGCAGCACGTGAGATAACAGCACCAAGAACCTTGACCCCCCAATATACATGATAAGGCTGATAATGTTTTTTTGTTTAGCGACATACGACCAGACTATCTGCTTTTTCGATCTGAACTATCCAATGTTATAAAATGATCCTGTATTAAGAATATAACTTTTCCGTCTCCTACCCTAATTTAGAGATTACACAGGCCTGCGAAATTTATTTTTTTTTTTCCACCAATATTTTTTTTTTTTAATATTTCGGTACGATAAATTAAAATACATCTTTGGTTTTTTTCTAGCACGTCGAGATTTTTTATGGCGACATATATATTATAGAATTTTTAGCAACTTGCATGAAAAGCCAAAAACTAATTCATTTATAATTGAATTTTTACTTATTTATGGGTATTTTTAACTAACGCGGTTGGTTTTTAAGTAAAAATTCAGTTCTAAATTAATTAATTTTTGGCTTGTGTGTCATCAATAAAAAACATCCCGCCATACTAGAAAAAAATAACACGATTATTGGAGGGGGGAAACAAAATTTAAATTTCGCAGGCCTGTGTTATGTATGGTAAATAGAGGAGAAACGTCAAAGACAAAATATGAAAAACAATGGACTCCGCTAAGCTAAAACGCGTGGTTGATGTATTTTTGTTAAAAAATTTGATAAAAATCGTACTATTATGCATGCTTATACTACCCTGCCATCAATAAAGCTAAAAACTCCTAAACTAAAAAAGGGAGCTCCAGGATATTTGGCAATGCTTTGAGGAAATCGCCAACGGCTCTGATGCTGATTCCAGTTTTTGTAGTGATGTGGATAGCAAACGTTGGGTACACAAGGCAGCGACCGTACAAGAAAAAAAGCAGCGATTTATAAATGGAGAAATATTTACAGCTACCCCTTATACCCGGACAAGAAGATCCTTTAATTTGGTAGAAGCATAGATAGTCGCAGAGATTTTCCAAATCTGTTTACACTGGCAACGAAGTATCTCTGTGCGACACCTTTCTCAGTGAACTCGGAAGGAGTGTTTAGTGTATCGGGTAGCGTGTATGTTGAAAATAGAAATAGGTTGTTCGCCGATAATTGGGAAATGCTTCTTTTCATAATGACAAATATAAACATTTTAACTTTAATTACTAAATAAATACTATTAAATTTGATCATGAAAATAGAAAAAAAATGTTTGAACTACATTTTTAAATTGAATCTTTTATAATCGAAATCCGGAAATCCGGCTGGATGTTAGTCAGTATCCGGTCGGATAGTCGGATACCAGAAAAACGGCCGGATAAGCCGGATTCCGGATATCTACCGGATACCCGGCACATTCCTATACTCAACCATACCTACAACCTACACTAGGTTGCGTTTCGGGTGTATTTCATGATTTTTTTTTTGTTTAGCACCGTGTTATTATTCAAATTTTTGTAAAACCGTTTATTGAAGGAACTATAGCAATAACATGAATTTAACTAAATTTGTTGCGTTTGTTTTGCACAATATTTATTTTAATAAATGTCAACTAAAGTATTAACAGTGAAATTTATGCTTTAATATGATGCCTAGTGTATATTAGAGATAGATGCGAATAGAGATAAAATCAACCGATCGCTGCTGCGTCCGACCCCGTCGAAACAGCTCGTTTCTTAGGTCTACCGTTAGTTGAGGATGACGGCAAAGGTTGCTAGACACACCGACCCAGGCGGGGCTTAGTAGTGCCGTTACATCAACACCAACATCTGACCAACATTGAAATTACATTGTACTTTTATTGTACGTAATTTTTAAAGCATACATTGTTCGTAACGGTTTCTATGTCTAGATTTATCCAAAAACTATCAGGTAGTTAACAATCTGTAAATACTTCTGAAAAAAAGTGAGCCAATGCGTTTCTATATTAAGACAACGATATGAGTATTGAACAAAAACTACTTAGGAGAATTGTTAAATTTTTACGAATTTTTTCATCGGAAGCTTTGGGAAGCTTGGGAAAGTTATAAGATTAATGGCATGAATCGGCCGTCTTATTTAAAAAGTCTAAAAGGTGACGTTACACAATTTTCATCATTGGATATTCAAAGAATTGAATTAATAGTGTAATTTATTGTACTCCATTTCATGTTTTAGTTTAATACTTAACTCCTCAAGATAACATTTTTCGTAATGAAAAATCTTGTTTTTGGATAAAAAAAAAACGTCCAGACGAGCAGCAAAGATCTGAAGGTTCGGTGATTTTGAATCTAGAAGTGATGCTTAAAGAATGGTCCAAACAATTTTTTTGGCCACGTAGAAAAGCTTTATTTAGGTTCAAGATCACCGTGTTTGAGCAGCATAGGGGTATAGTGAACTAATGATTTTTTTTCTGACGTTTGCAAGCATATTAAAATCATATGAAATTGAAAAAAAAAAAAAATGAAATTGTTACAATTGTGTGTGTGAGTTTGAGTTTTGAATTTTTAAATTATATTGCCAACAAACGTCAGACTACTACCTTTCAATGGTTTTACCTTCCCTGCAAACCAAAGTTCCCGAAATCTTAACGAAATATTTATGAGTATATAATTTCTGTAACGATTTTTTTACCAAGCTTCAATGAAAATATGAAGTGGTTGACATGAACTCGTGAAGAAATTCCTGTGCGAAAAATAAAGAAAATTTTGCAAGATAATCTTCACATAGCAGCATCATTTTCATTGCTTTACTGATTTTTTCCGAAATTTCGTAAAAGAATCGAAGTGTGCACAGTTTTACGAATCCTTAAAATCTGGTTTGCAGGGTTATGTTTTTATCATGCGACCAAGTATGCATACATGTCTGATTGTCTTATGTTCTACTTTACCTTAATAAATGAAAAACCAATTGTTTGAAATGTCAGTTTATTATTACAATATTTTAATTTTAGACGGATTTGAACAATCAACTCAAAGAAGCTGGTACTAAGTTAGTTGTAATTGACTTTTTTGCAACATGGTGTGGTCCCTGCAAATTAATTGCTCCCAGGCTTGAGGAGTTGGCAAAAGAGTACGAAGGAAAAGTTTTAATACTAAAGGTGAGTTTATAATAATTTTTTTCTTCTCCAAAAGACGGTTTATTTCGAGAGGTCGTTCTGCATGCATTTAGCAGAACAAAAACACGTGCAATACAATGCATTGAAATGAACATTCAACGAACCTTTTATTTGCCTCAGCTCTGTTAAAACATTGGCAAGCCTTGATGTATGTCTGCGAATGCGGAACTTTGGTTGAACCTAACCCTGCCCTAATCGACGATAACCGTGGGGTATCGGTATTAAGCAAAATACTTTAAATCAGCCTCATTGCGTAAGTCGTAAATTAGGCTACAGTAGCATTGTCTATTGTCGTACTGAAAAATGTAAACGACCAAAATCGTCGAAAACTATACAGTGCTGCTAAGATTTTCCGTTTTAATACTCTGTGGAAATTTTAGGCAATGACGTGCAATTTTCGATACGATTCGACTCTCGAAAAACGACTTGCATTCGACACGACTCTCGCAATGAGGGTGAATATAAATTCAAAACAGTAACACGTTCAACTCTTAGTGTTTTTAATTTAGTTAAAAGAATATAACGCATATGTAAAGGTAGTTATTTAAATTCCAGATTTTAGTATATTTTTGCAGTTATGTTTCATTTCTACTACAAACATACATTAACATTTTTTCAAACCGTGTTGAAAAGTCAACTCGCTTGGAATGTACACATTTTTTCTACATCGCACAGTGCGGCCGAATTCCAAAGGTGCGGCACAAATTCGAGAAAATAAAGTTTCTAGATAGGCCTTTTTTGACATTGAGTTGGCTAAAGAGAACACCTAAGAAGCGAAAATTGTTCACTGTAATTTCCTGTACCCTAAATCCTCTCTTTGTAGTGTGACCTCCTCTCAATCACAACATTATTGTAATAAAAAGCGAAAAGTTGTTAACGTATAAAAGTAGTTAGAGAATAGGAAATCAAACAAAACCAAATGGAGTCTACGTCTGAATGTTAGTAAAATACGTTAAACAATTTGTGAAAACTAATATTGTAACAGAAATTTTTATGAAATAAAAATGTAAAGGTATTTTTTCGTTTCTTTAAAAAAAAAACTTGAGTTGCTAAATGCAACAGTCACAACACGCTATTGGATTTTACGTAGAAAAGTATTAGCTACAGAATAAAACAAAACTCGGATGGCCGCACTTTTGGATTTCGGCCGCACTGTGCATCGGTAGATATAGTAAAAAGTCACGATATAAACGATTTTGTGTTATTTAGAGGGAAAAATAACGAGTATGAGGGTGTAAATTACTTATGGTGTCTTCGTTTCTACCAGAAAATGTCGCCTTATGATTTCCCTTTCTCTTTTCGTGTGCGATTCTAAAATAAGAGCAAACAGCGCTAAAATTTTGTGTTCGTTTCTTAAAACGTCACACTCTTGTAAGGCAAAATAGGCACATTCTTTTCCTTTGAAGCTTCGCCAGGGGAGAAGGTTGCCCTAAAATTCAGATGTTTGCTTAAAACGAAAATATTATGAAGTGCGTAAGCTGGACAAGGACAAGAGGAAACATGCCCTCTTACAGGGTTGAGTGTAACATAAAACAAATTTTGCATCGTGGAATGGCAACAGTTTTTGTTATTATTGAACGAAAAATTCTTCATCCATCTGTCCGCATTTTTCTGCTGAGGAGCTAGTATTTTTGTTATGCTAAATCCGAATATGCCATACAATTTTTAGTTTGACAGTCAAAGACTGTCAAATCAACTGCCAATTTCTCTAGAAATAAGAAAATCTTTTTAAAATGCCACTGACTAGGTTTTTAGGCACGCTAGTCACGAACTTGATGTAAAATTAATACTTTGGCAGTTGTCAGCCGTCAAATAGACTGAATTTTCTTAAAAATGGGGGAATCTTTTTAAAAATGCCCCTATTAAGTTTTTAGACATGCTCATCACGAATTCCATGTCAAATTAAAGCTTTGAGAGTTGACAGCTGTAAAATGGACTGTTAATATTTCTAAAAGTAAGAAAACATTTTTTAAAACGCTACTGCTAAAGGGTTTAGACACGCTAGTCACGAATTTTACGTCAAATTAAAAGATTGAGAGTTGACAGCTGTCGAATGGTCTGCCAATTTATCTAGAAATGAGGAAAGTTTCCCAAGAATTAAACGTACTGATTTTAAGGCTCACTGATCTCGGGTTCTATATCACATTCAAATTTATGCAGTTGACAACTGCCAAATGAACTGTTATTTTCAGTAGAGTAACACAATATATTTGTTTAGCCAAATTAATGATTTATTGTATTCGAGGGAGCATATTTAAAATGAATTTATGATCAAATTATGAAATAATAACAGTAATTTTATTTATAAATAGGGGATAGTTGCTTTATGTTGAGCCCAAACAATTTGACATAGGCCCCCTAGTTCTTTTAAGATTTTTTTTCATATGATATGATATGGGTGTTTCCTGTGTTACGGACGTTCCGTTTGTAGGCACTTTTTTCATCATAAAAACTATAGTAGGCTCTGAATGAACACAAATTTTTTGTTATGAGTAGTCATCATCAATACCTATCTGAAACCAATATAAATATTTTCCGCAAATGTTATATGGTAAGTGCATAGCGATTAAAAGAACCCGTTCGGACGTTCCCAAAATGGAACTCGTATCGAAGATAACTGATGATTCTTGCAAAAATCTGCGAATCTGTTAACAATACAAAAATATTATGTATGAATGGTTATTAGAATAATGAGCAGCCATAACCACTGCGTCGACTTAAGCTTCCTAACGATGTTTAATAGCCGTCAAAAACTGTGCAAAGTTGTTCGGACGTTCCGATTTTTTCCAATGAGATAAAATTTTTTGTTTAAGAATTTAAACACACTCGTTTTTAATGCAAATATGAGGTTTTATTGTAAATAATACAAAGCACTTAAGGCCTGAGTGGCTAGTGGGTGACAGGTAACAAGATCAACGGAAATAAGGTCAATTAACACTATTTCGCACACTGATGCGCACTAAAGTCCATTGACATTATTTGCTTTCCAAAAGAGAAATAAAGTCAAAGAAAATTTGGCGCGACCGTGGCGCAGCAAGAATGTCGATGGATTTTATTTCGCTTTTGAAAAGGTAATAATGACAATTGCCTTTATTTCGCACCAGTATGCGAAATAGTGTCAATTGATGACCTTACTGCTGTTGATATTGGTCTGCTCGCTAATGATCTTGGTTTGCTAATGTCAAAATCCTTGAATTCCCTTTTTTGTCAAAATCCTTGAATTCCTTTTTGTCAAAATCCTTGAATTCCCTTTTAAAATGCTGATATGCTTCTTTTACTGTCAAAACCATGTAGCGCTTTGGTAAAGGCAATTCTCGCTTACTTAACAATGCTTCTTTTCTTCCTGCTGCTTGTACAATTTTTATTAATTTAGGGTCCTCATTTTCGTATTTCGCCTCCTCATTTTAACTATCATATTTCTCTAATAATGTTATCTTAATGCTTTTTCAACCTTTTTATGACTTTATTGTCTACTTTTATACTTGCCAAAACTCGAGGAAACTAATCCCTGTTTTTTGTTTTCAGTTAATCTTTTTTGGCGCAAGTTAGTCGCATCTTGGTGCTTTTTTGCCATGATGTGATTATTTTTATACCCGAGCGCACTTGTGCACAATTTGCCATGATGTGATTATTTTTATACCCGAGCGCACTTGTGCACAAGGGTATATGTATTAATTTTGTTCACATAACGGTTGTTTGTAACAGCCAAAACGAATCGAGATAGATACAGACAAATGTATACATATCTGCTCAGAATGAATAGAGAAATCGATTAAGCCATGTCTGTCTGTCCGTCCGTCTGTCCGTCCGTCTGTCCGTCTGTCCGTCCGTCCGTGTACACGATAACTCGAGCAAAATTGAGATATCTCAACGAAATTTGTTATGTAGGTTTCTGTTAATCCAAGGTAGGTTGGTATTGAAAATGGGCGAAATGGGAAAATCGGACAGTAACCACGCCCACTTCCCATATAACGGTAATTTTCGGAAATACGAAAACTGCGATATTTTAGTAACTACTGAAGATTATTCACTCAAAATTGATATTTACAACAATTTTTAGACGAAAAATAAGAATATTATAAATTTTTGGAAAATGGGCGTAGCCACGCCCACTTATGGTTACATGTGTATATCTTGGTAACCGCTGCACAAATTTCTTCCAAACTCGGCACAGTTGTTGGCCTTGATACAGCATACTAAATGGCCGAAAATTTAAAAAATCGGACAATAACCACGCCCACATCCCATATAACGGTAATTTAGAGAAATACAAAATCTTCGATAAATCAGTAAATATTAAAGCTAATTTATTCAAAATTGATGCTTGCAACAATTCTTTACCAAGATATACATTTATGGTAAAATTTTGGAAAATGGGCGTGGCACCGCCCACTTATGATCACATATATGCATATCGGTAACCCTTATACCAATTTGTACCAAACTCCGTATTTTTATTGTGCTTCACAAATAAAAGCAAAACGTTGAAAATTATTGAAATCGGACTAAAATTACGGCCGNATTTTCGTATTTCGCCTCCTCATTTTAACTATCATATTTCTCTAATAATGTTATCTTAATGCTTTTTCAACCTTTTTATAGCTTTATTGTATACTTTTATACTTGCCAAAACTCGAGGAAACTAATCCCTGTTTTTTGTTTTCAATTAATCTTTTTTGGCGCAAGTTAGTCGCATCTTGGTGCTTTTTTGCCATGATGTGATTATTTTTTATTTTTCTTCTATAGTATTTTTTTCGATCTCTCTTTTTTTATATTCCACCAACTTTTCTTCATCTTTCTTCAAATTCCGTCTCCATTTCATTGCTCTCTCAGCCGTGGTTTTAATGTTCGTTGAAGTCATGTCTTCGTACAAGCAGAAGTATGTACTATACCCAGCAAACAATTAGGTTTGATATACATTTGAGAATGATTTGAAATCAAAGCCTTTATCAAATGTCAAACGGTTGAAAATGATTTGATAT